AGGACAGGTCACAGGGGGCAGGGAGCTGGGTGCTGTACCAACTAATTCAGAAGTACAGGGAAAAGAAGAAAAAGCAGGGAGGGAAGATACAGGTGCTCAGTTCTAAGGAAGTGGAGTAGCAAGGGGCAACAATGAGAAAGGAAAGGAGTTTCTTATAGTGAAAATGGAGTTCACACCAAAAAAACCCCACCACACAAAAGAAGCAGTGAAGTTAACAGCAGAGAACAGAGCTATTAAACACCACTTGCCCTCAGAGATGCTGGCAGGCAGAGGAAGGAGGAAATCTCAGAGCAGGTTTATTTATTTGGTGGAAGTGCTTTTGATTTCCCAGGCATGCAGGAGCACCAGCAGGAACCCCCAGCTGGGGAGAGGCTGGGCAGTGCATGCCAGTGTTTGCACACCCACAGTAGGATGAAGCAGCCTCTCCTGAGCCTTCAGGGTGCTACAGAAACATTCTCCTTTCCTGATCCTGGAGGTCAACAGAGCAGCAAGGGAGAGGGTTACAGAGCTCTGTGGTCAAGTCTTTTTTGTTTACAGGATAGGACGTGAGGATATTTCTGCAGGACTTAGGAGCTGAGATTTCTCCACCTCCTGCTGAGGCTTCCTGTGTCTCCCAGCATTTGCCATTTCCTCCTATTTCCTCCTATGCCTCACAGTGCCACACAGCAGTTCTAACTCACTGACCCATCTCTTCCAGCACACCCTCTCTTCAAGTTACCGTGGAAAGTTCTTCGCTGCTACTCTGCTAATTCTGAAGCCTTTGAGCTGTACTTTTGAGTCTGCAAGGGGAGCTGAAGTCTTCTGATAGGATGAGCTTAATAAAAAAGCCCTGGTTTTCACATCTGGCAAGCAGGGTTTACATATCTGGGTAAGTATGGTCCAGGAGAGGAATCAAATTAGTTGCATCCTCCTCCCTCCACAGCAGCACTTCAGCTGAAGCAGTAATGAAGAAAAATCTCACAAAGTGGCCACTGGCAACCAGAATCATTTGTCTGCTATCGATCCACAGTGTGATTTATTAATGGGGTGGGAAAGCAGGCACAGGTCCTTCTCTAGGTAAGGGAAATCTCATCTCATCTCTTTCTTATAGGTTCTGCTGGCCCTATCCTGCTTCCATGCCACCCCTGTGCATGCCCAGCCCTGCACATGCATTTCACCTCCAGGTGCCCTGAGAGGATGGCTATACCCTGAGAGCCAGAACTACTCATGAGAGAGGAAAGTCCTCAGGACTTGTGAGAAGGGGAGGTTGTTCAGTTCTGCACTCAGTTGCTGAACCCAAGAGCCTGCAGGTTTAATCTCAGTCTGCCACAAAACGGGAAGAGATTCAGAATTCATCAAGCAATTTTTGCAGACTCTCACACCCAAACATTTGCTCTGGAGAAGGATTTGCTCTCACTCTGCTTGCTGACATTTGCATCTCTACACCAATAGTTGAAAGCTGCAGCCTCACCACAAAATACCTTGAAATTTATGACTATTGTCATCAACAGGAACTGCAAAATTAAAACCCAAGACCCTCCTTCCCATCAGTTTTTCCATCCACAAGCCCAGCTCTGCCTAAATCATGCAAAAGCCGTATAAAGGAGCCACATGAACCAACCCATAAATCACAGCTGTCCTGTCTCCCCAGCTTAATGCCAAGTGATAAAATGCCCCAGAGTTTATGTGGCTGCCACTGCTCCCCTCCTCCCCACTTTGTTGATTGTATACATAAATAAAACCACAATGATCTCATTTGAGTCCCTTAACCAGCAAAAGCAGGAGCTGGGAGCCCCAGCCAGTCTAGCTGCAGTGACTCACAGTGATTTTTGATTGAAGCTGACTATTAGTGGATACAATTAAGATGCTGCTTCAGTTTGAAGATGAATTGGCCGTGCAGAGACAAATTGTGAATGCTTATTGCTGCCATGCTGAGGCAGGTAATCAGGGAATGAAGCTGTAATTGTGGCACCTCTTGTTTTGCTCCTGCTGGAGCACAGAACGCGAGATTCAATTTAACAAACAATTTGCCACACGGCTCATCCCTGCTGGGTGGGAAAGCAAGGCATGCTGGTGAGGCTTCCTTTGAGTTCTGCTCCCTTTTAAACCTGTTATAAGCAAAACTGGCCCTTGTTTTAACCTTTGCACCAAAGCAGAAAGGAAGAGGAGAAGTCCAAGAGTATTGCTGATGGTGTATTTGAGAATGTACCTTGGGCTTCATCCAGAGATGACTAAACAAGAAAAGTTTATACTCACATACTGAAAAGTATCATCATCCTTTTGATACTTTTTGGGTTTTTCTGAGCTTCTCTGGAGAAACCAGAGGACAGCTGGGCCAGCACCTTGGAGCAGCAAATGCCAATATGGGCATGTGAGGAGGCATTTATGTACACCCAGGGTTGCTCTACTGCTGCAGGAGATTCGGGTTACAGCCCCTGGATGATCTTGAAGCCAATTATCCTCTTTTTATCCCCATGGGAGGGAAGGACCAGTTGAAGCAGCAGCTCCTCAGCAGCTGGCTTTCATCCTGCTGCAAAGGGAAGGAGTGCAGAGATGCTCTGCAGGGCTCAAGGGGTTGGCATTTAAAGGACTCAAAAAAGAATTAGAACCAGAGATCTCCTGGACCAGACTCACAGAGCAGAGCTTCCTTAGCTTTGTTTACCTCTCTTTGGGATCCATCCTTGAATACAACCACTCTCTCCAAGTTTCTAGATCAAACTTGGCTTCTCCAACAATATTGATTCCATGGAGGAGATACAGCCAGGTCTTACAAACCCTTCCTGTTTCACTGTTAGTGATTCATAACCACACCAGTAACTTATTTAAACCCCCAAATCTCAGGGATTTTATTGTGTTTTTTTCAGGCTAAACATGTATTTACATGTTTTGAAATCTGACCCAAGCAGGACCAGCTGTTCTTGTTACTTTAGGATGTAGACATTGGCATCACCTTTTTTGTCAAAGGACAAAGTTCTCTAATGGCTAGTCTGACCTAGAAAATGAGGGCATCAGCTGTACAGAGGCCCCTCTGTTTATCAGTTTGCAAGTGGCTCAGTTTTTCCTCCTCACAAACATACAGGGATCACAGAAACCAGAGAGCACAAGGGATGTTCAGTGGTTGGCAACTGCAGAGGCTCTGATGGAAACCTTATAGAAAAAAAAAGATCATCTTCTGTTTTTTCTGTAAGTACTGCTGGTCATGGTCTGCAGAGAAGACATTTTCTTGCCTATAAGCATTATATAGGGCCCAACATCAGCTGGATCCTGCTTTTCAGCCCTTATCAGCCTTGGAAAAGCCCCAAGGAAGTCAACAGCAAAATTTGATGGTACTTCAGGCAGGTGCAAATCAAAGGAGTGAAAAACTCATCTAATTAAAACTTAGTGTTTGTATAGAGAAAAGAGCTGTTTGCTCTGACAAAGCAGGAAGCAGAGAAGCACAGAAGTTTTGCAATTGAGCAGGGCTGGGTATCTGGGGGAGGATGAGGGTGATTTTCTCTGAAGGGAATGATCTGTACTTTGAGAATGCTCCTCTCTAGCATCTCCCAGGCAGCAGCCAGCCTGGCCTTACTGCAGAGCTTCCCCTTGCCCAAATGTCTTGCAGGCATTGGCCCAGATGTGGTATCCATTACAGGGCAAGCATTCTGAGACAAGATGATGCCTCTTTATCAACTGTTATTAAACAGCCACCATCGCAGGTGGTTACAGGTTTCATTTGTTGCCCTGATGTTACAAAAAACCTTGTTCTTTAAAACTTACTCTTAAGTAGCTATCTCGCCTCTCCCAGGTGATAATTAACATATTTGACATTTTTAGAAAAATTATTCACAGTCTTCTGTTTAAAGGAGCAGAGAATGGACAGCAAGGCAGTGTTTGGCTCAAACCCAGCACGTATATTGAATGTAAAGCTTTTGGGCTGTTCAAATGAGTGTTTCAGGTGCTGATTTTGGTGGGAAGGCTGTACCTGGAGGTGGTCCCACAGCTCAAGCCCTGAGCACAAAGGGTGCTGCAGGAAAGGCTTATGGGGTTATTTAGCAGCTGGACAAGGACAGGAATAGCAGGTACTTGTTTTGTAATCCCTGCCAGGACAGCAGGACCTGCTCCCTGGGCAAAGCTTGGGAGCTGTGAGTTTAGGCCAGCCGAAGGGGACAGACATGGCAATTCACAATGTCTCCTTTGGGCTGCCCCAGGCACCTCATTCAGGTGCAGGTTACAAGAAAAAGAGGCCTCTGTGTCCCAAAAGGCACCCATCTTTGATACCCTGAGTTGGCTAGAGACAGACACGGCAAACATCCTTCCT